TTTTTTTTGCCAGAGCTAGGCTACTGGTCCTTGTGCATCGGACAACCTTGCTCTGCCCTGTCCCACAACCAGGCGGCAGAGAAAGAAGAGGGTCCGATCGGGGGGAAGCAACGTGGCCAAGAGGTCCCGACACGGGCTCCGCCACGGGTCTCTGTGCGCCGCCGATCTCTGCCTTCTCACAGATCTGTCGGACACGTTACAGTGTGTGCTGTGGGTCAGGCACTGCCCTGGCCCTTCCAGTCCGTCCGACCACACTGGAGACAGTTACTGCCGTCACGCTCCGTTCACAGAGAGGGAAGCCGGTCCGGAGAGGATGCGGTCCTGGCCCTCTGCCCCTGTGCCTGGTGCTGCCACCCGGGGCTCCTCAGGATCCCCCCTTCTCTAGGCTCACCCCTGCCATTCTCCACGTTCCAGCAAGCCTGGATTACATACTGTAGAGTCCCTCTCCTTCCTAACCAATGGGTCCCTAAGATCTGCCCGAGAGGAATGAGAAATGGGGGCGGGGGGGGGGTGGCAGGCCAGGCACAGGGCCTCCCTCAAGTCCGCTCACCCTTTCCTGAATACCTCCTCGGTTGACCTTGAGGCTGGCAATTAAGACAACCATTCCCAGTCCCCCATTATGTGACGGTTTCTCGTCCACAAGAAGCACAGGGAAGTCCCAAGGTTTGGGGAAAGCTCTGCCTTCCCGATAAAAGGGACGGAGGCAGCTCGTTTCATCCATTTCCTGCCTTCAACTGAATGTGACGCCTGCGGCTGTGGCAGCCACTTTGCGACCACAAGGCACCACTCACGAGGATGGAAAAACAATGCACTAGGGACAGTAAACCTAGAAGGCGGGTAGATCTGGGCTTTCGCTAACCAGCTGCCGAGCCAACGCTTACAACCCCCTACTGCCACGTGAGTCGCTACTTCGAGAAAAAGAAACGGCACTGTGAAAAACGACATCGTCGAGTTAAACAACTGTAAGTGACTCAGGCGTTCTGTGAATACCCTCCTTTCCCTACCGGGAAGCACTGCTGTGAGGATTTCAATGAGATAATGATTCTCTTAGGGCAGTGCCCCATGCACACCACCGTCCTCCCCGGGAGGGCCGAGGCCCCAGAAGAGGAGTGAGCTGGGCAGAGGAGTCCTTGAGCTGCCCCCAGCCTGCCTCCGGGCTGTGCGGAGAGGCTGTGCCCACGCCGGTCAGGGTAGAGCACTCGGGAAGGAGACACAGAATCAAAGTAGAGGTGCGCCCAGGTGTCGGGACCAGGCATCTGAAGACGGACAGAACAACACAGGGGCTCTGACCGGGTGGGCTCGGGGGGCCCAGAAATGAGTGGAAATGACCAGCCAGATGTTTATGTGCACCCCAGACTCTGAGGCAGGTGCGTTCTGCGGGGTAAGACGGGCCAGGCTGCAGCGCAGGTTGGCTTTGGACGGGGAGGGATTCCTTCTGCGTCACGCGCACACGGACGGAGACGTTCAGGGGAGGTAATCAATTGATTCATGATCAGGGAAGTCAGATCAGAAACAGGCAAACGGTCACGATCTTTGTGCGATGCTCAGGGATGAACTGGAGGGAGTGAACACACCGAACGGAGGGAGGCATTTACTGTTTGCTTCTAGGTCTTAAAACACCTCTCGCGATTACCAGGTGCTGCCTACCTCCTCCTGAGGCCACGGGGACGGATGTGAGCGTCTGCTCTCTCGCAGAGGCGCCCGGGCCAGGCCACACGGGGTTTGGCAAAATTGCAACGACACAGCAGTTCCGGGACGAAGGGTCAGACGCAGGCCCTCGACTCCCCATCTGCGTTCCTGGGGCTGCGTTCTCCCTCTGCCCTCGTGGCCCTCACCCGCAGGGCAGGGTGGCTCCACGGTGACGTGAGGGCCTCGTCTGCGGCAGCCCCGTGCCGTGTAGGGGAGACCGCCGAGGCGGAGAGAGAGGCAAGCCTTTCCCGCCCTCCCGAGCCTGCCTGTGCAGGCACACGCGGCCGGGGAGCGGGCAAGCCCGGTTCCTAATGGAAGGGCCTGGTGCAGGCGTCGCTGCATGGCTCAGAATCGAGGGCCCCGGCCTTGCCTCGGTCAGAGCCAGGACAAGGAGGGGTCCTGACGATTCTTGGCCAGAGTCTTTAGGTCCCGTCTGGGACTTCACTGGGGTGCCCGAAACAAGGTGGAGGAGATTCTGTTTAGCCCTGGAGGATTCCTCCGGATCACGAGCCGGACGCACAGACACCACGACAGCCCCTGATTGTCAGCACAGTGTAAAACCCACCGTGGAGGCCGGGGTGCGCCCCATCCTGGACCTCAAGGCTCCCTGCCCTGCCCGCTGGCACCTGGTGGCTCAGTGACCAGAGCTGCTCTCCAGGGAGGGCCTCGGCCTTGCCTCCAGGGAAGTGCCTGTGGCCCAGTGAGCAGGCCCTGCCTTTAGGGTCCGGCCTCTGGGCCCCTATTTGGTGCAGCGCCCAAGAGGTGCACAGTTATCACGCTGGCTGGTTTGAATCAAAGTCATTCGACCACAGCCGTTTAACAGACACCATCCCGGGGCTTGCGCAAGGTGGGTGTTCGGGGCCGGGGCTCACGTGGGTCTCCCCACACCCCCTTGCAGAGACCGCCTCTGCTGTAAAATTGGCATAGGCTCCACCATGGGATGCCTTTAGACTCGGTAGCAACTCATCTCTGCAACTAGATAGATGCTGGGCATCTCTCTAGCCGGGTTTACAGAACCAGGGTCTCACTGGGGGGCCGTCCCCAGGGTCAAGGCTAGAGACGGCTGTACTTGCTACGGCAGGGGGAGGGAGGCATCGAGGGAGGGGCCGGGGATGCTGCTGAACATCCTGCAGTGCAAGATGGTCCTCCACGAGAGAGAATTACCCAGTTGAGAGGTCACTGGTGCCGTCGCGGGGACACCTGGTGACAGCATACCCCATTTAAACGGCTGCCCTGTAGGTCTGGGACGACGTGCTGTAATTTACTTGACGGTGTCCTTATTGTTGGACATATGCCTTATTTCTAGGTCGTTGCTAAACAAGCATTTTTTATACATGCAACTTACAGGCTGGATAGACTTCTAGAAGTAACATCTCCTGGCAGAGGAACGTACACGGTTTAGAATGTTGGTGGGTTTTGCCGAGTGTTAATACGTTGCTCCATCAGCTCTCTGGACAGCACAGCCTGGCGCTATGCGGGCACCAGGACGGGGCCTGCTCATGTCCTTGCTCTCCAGCTCCCCCGGTAGTGGGCACCGTGCCGGGCACCTCCTCCCGCCCGACGGCCCCACCGCACTGCTGACCGCTGACCACGCGTCACTACGCTCAGCACGCACGCAGGTGCCCGTGACAATGAGGGATGGAAAGCGGCAAGCGGGCAAAGAGGATTCGGCAGCTGTGTTACTCGCGGGAGTCCTAGGCAACCCGTGCGTCTGCAGGAGGAGAAGTCCACCGAGAGGCAGCCGGGGGAAACCTTTCGCGGAGAGTGATTCTGAAAGTGGATTAGTGCTTGGCTAACATTCACGTAAATCTCGATTTTCACACACGTTAGGATGTATTAACTTAAGGGGCACTGAACAAGAGGCAGCTTTCAGCCGTCCTCTCCTAGGTTTGCGGGCTCTAAACGTAAGACGAGTAGAAACAAGTTCCACCCTTTTGTGCAAAAACAGTGCCTTTTGGGAAATAGCTAATAACCCTTGGCCAGAGACTGTGTCTTCGAAGTCCTTGTAGCTTGGACGCGAGAGGGCATTTGCACACCTGATTCAGGCCCCTTGCTCTCAGTGAACCTGGTAAAACATGCAGGCAGGCAGTAGAGGTGGGCGGGCGGATGGCCCCTGCCGTCCCGGGGCGCATGCGGGCTCTTACCCAGACGGTTGCACGGGTTCCGTTTGAAGAGGGCTCTCAGCAGGCTCTGGGCTTCGGTGCTGAGGAACTGTGGCATGCCCAGCTTGGCTCTGAAAATGGAGTTGTAGTTTAGGATGAGAAGGACGGCCAGAGTTTTCTCCGGCACTTTGCGAGCCTGCTCAGTCAGCATGAACAGATCAAACCGACGTGACCCACAGAGCAGCAGCACCCAAACTTTCTGGCCTTAGGGCCCTTCTGCGCCCTAGAAGTCACGGCGGGCATCAAAGAACTTCTGTTTACGTGGGTTCGAGGAGAGAAATCTTTACCATAGCGATTGAATAATTCGCTTCAAAACTAATGCAACCATTAAAAAGAAACACTAAGAATCCCATTAACATAAGTAACGTTTTAAATGATGTTTTACTACGTTACTACGCTACGAACCACGTTTTCCAAAATAACAAAAAAAGGTTTGGCTAGAAGAGTGATATTGTTTACAGTTCGGGAATCTCTTCTGGGTGAGAGGAGAGAAAGGCAGATACGCTTATCTACCTCTGTGTTCGATCTGTTGCAGTATAGGAAGAAAATCTGGGACTTCACGGAGCTAGCACAAACAATCCTAAACTTTGGATGGAACCACAAAAGACCTCAAATAGCCAAAGCAATCCTGAAAAAGAAAACCAATGCTGGAGGCCTCACAATTCCAGGCTTCAAGTTAATTACAAAGCTGTACTAATCAAGACAGTATGGGACTGGCACAAACACACACAGATCAATGGAACAGAGAACCCAGAAATAAACCCAGAAATATATAGTCAACTAATCTTCAATAAAGCAGAAAAGAATATCCAATGGGAAACAGGCGGTCTCTTCAGCAAGTGGTGCTGGGAAAACTGGGCAGCGACATGCAGAACAATAGACCTGGACCACTTTCGTAACCACACACACAAATAAACTCAAAATCGATGAGAGACCTAAATGTGAGACCCGAAACCATAAAAGTCCTAGAGAACACAGGCAGCAACACCTCTGACATCAGCCCTACCAACATTTTTCCAGGTATGTCTCCGGAGACAAGAGAAATAAAAGCAAAAATGAACTATTGGAGACACATCAAAATAAACAGCTTCTGCAGAGCGAAGGAAACGATCAACAAAACTAAAAAAAAAAACCGACGGAATGGGAGAAGATATTTGCGGATGACATATCGGATAAAGGGTTAGTATCCAACATACATAAAGAACGGACACAACTCCTCATCCCAAAACCAAATAATCCAACTAAAAAAATGGGCAGAAGACATGAATAGAATTTTTCCAAAGAAGACCTTCAGATAGCCAACAGATTTGTGAAAAGATGCCCCACATCACACATCATCAGGGAAATACAGATCAAAACTACAATGAGATATCACCTCACGCCTGTCAGAATGGCTAACACCAACAACTCAGGCAGCAACAGAGGTTGGCGAGGATGCGGAGAAAGAGGAACCCTCCGGCACTGTTGGTGGGAATGCAGACTGGTGCAGCCGCTCTGGAAAACGGTGTGGAGGTTCCTCAAAAAGTTAATGTACACTTATCAACCTACTGTGATGAAAAACATAAAATGAAAATAAAATAAAACCCAGTAATCTAATTGACCCAAATGACTGCAAAAAAAGAGAAAAAATCCAGGAAAGGAGGAGCCTGCGAGCCCCCAGGAGGCTCTCGGTCCCCGGGGTCCCCAGATTGTGTTCTGGGAGCCACGGGACCACAGCTTGGTGTTGACTTTCAGAAATGCTCAGCCACTCCCAAGCGACGAGTCCACACACAGGATTAGCTGGAGGGGATTATTCTCGTTTTAGAGAAAGTACAGCTCGTGTTCCCCCTTAAAATTAAAAGTCACAGAGGTAAACAGTGCAAAAACAGCAGACCGCAGCCATAGATCCGTCGCCCACAACAGAGGAAGACACTGATCAAATCCTCTCTGTGAGCTTTCCTCCACTCCCTTCTCTCCTCCCACTTATACAATGGTGCAACCTACAAAAACTTAAGCTTTTTAGGCGCCTCTTGCTTTTATAAAAGTGTCGTGTCCACCTGCAGGGTTTGCGAGAGCGGGTCACGAGGACCAGCAGCTTTACGGCTTCTCTACGCCCTCGCACAGCAGAGGGACGCTAATTTGGAGCGAGGGGTACCTGTTTCCAGCCGCTTCTCTACCCCCATCCACGCTCCTGTCTTCTCCTCCTGGAGCTTTCCCTTCTGACATCGTGCTTACACGGAGCCTGCTCATGTTTAAGGTGTCATCGCAGGACCGGCACTGGGTTTACACGTCTTTCCGGGATGCTAAGAGCAACATCCACTTGCACGGTAATTGATTCTTTGGGAGAACTGAACAGAAAATTGTGCGTGTGTCCAGTCACGTGGGCAACGTGATTCCTCGCCAACGTGAGGCAGGAGAGCTCAGGGACCTGAACGAATGGGGTCAAGAGGGAGAGAAAGAAAGGAACCCCCACTCTTGTGCTCTCTGGAGCCCCTAAGTCCTCTGCCCTTCCGAATCTGTACTTTGTTTCTGAAGGTCCCTGATCACCACACTCCCTGCCGCTGACACCACACGCGATTTTGCTGATGGAAAACGTTATCTGCGCTTCGCCAGGGTCACTCGGGGATCCCCGTCAGCGTCTCCCCTGCAGCGAAAACGCCAAGAATGCATATCACGGTTGTTGCTGATGCCTACTTAACAACCCGGGCTTCCAAGACCGAAGCTCTTGCTTTGGAAGGTGCTGGGCATACTGGATAGATTCCCCAAGGGTGGGTGTTTCCTACTCACTTGAGGATGAGGGCCATGGTCTCCTTCCTGTCCTTCCCCTGGAACGGCAGCGATCCCGTGAGCATCTCGAACTGCAGAGGAACACAGAACAAGGAGGGTGAGTGTTCAGAGCGACTGGATTTACTAGCAGAGACCCCCAGGTGGGCAAAATGCAGCCAAAGTTCACGTGTCCTTTCAAAATCCCAATCAATCCGGTGGAGGCCCTGGCCGACACGCTAGGTGCACATCAGCGAGCAGAGCGGCCTCACGGCGCTCGAAGTTGGGCGGGGAGGCGCACAAGCCGGCAACCCAGGACGTACCCCGGCCGTGGTAGGCGAGGCCGGCCGAGCGCCGTGGAGACAAGACACGCTGGGGAAGGGGATGGCAAGGGGATGGAGGCTGGGCCGTCCCCCTTCCGTGGGGCCGGTGGAGGACCCCATTCCCGTCCTTCTCTGGTGTGTGCTGTGGAGGCGGCCGGGGCAGAGTGACTTTGGTCCGTTAAGAACGTCCAGTGAGAACAGTATGGCGCCAGGAATGTCTCCAACAGGGCCACGCTGAAAATAACTAGCGGACCTCTGCCGGGACGGCCTCTGGGACGGAGACAGCATTGAGGGCCTGCCTTTCCCGAGCACGGAAAAGCCCGGACTGCACGGGCTCTGGAAGGGGTGGCCTGGACCCGCAGGGTATGGCCTGGACGAGGTGCGCACCTGCCCCCTTCTGAGACAGAACGAGGGCAGGCGTGCCACCAAACCCTGTCCTTGAAAATGGGACGCTGAATCTGACAGAGGCTATAGTACCGGTCCCAGTCCGCGTCTTCACGTCCTTGTCAACTACACTTGAGCCTTGAACACGGGTGTGAACACGGGTGTGAACAACATGGGTGTGGGTGACACGGGTGTGAACGCCACGGGTGAGAACGACACCGCTGGGAACAACACAGCTGTGACTCATGGGTATGAGCGACACAGTTGTGAACAACATGGGTGTGAACACCACGGGTGTGAACGACACGGGTGTGAAATAATCCACTTCCATGCGGGTCATGTTTTGGTAAATACAGTACCACATACACCACAGGCGTGTTTTCTCTTATGATTTTCTCTTAACAACATTTCTTCACCTTACTTTACGGTGAGGATACAGTAGGTAATACATATAATGCACGAAATATGTGTTAATCTACCGCTTATGTTATTGTGAGACTTCTGGTCAACATTAAGCTATCTTATTAGTTCATTTTGAGGGGAGTCGAAGTTGTATGTGGATTTTCAACTACCTTCAGAGGTCAGTGCCCCTTAGCCCTGTGTGGTTCAAGGGTAAACTGTATAAGGAAACAGCCTCAGTGCGGGTGTTGGTATGATCTTACTAAACTTGCCTTACTTTTGATTCCGACTGCATGTCTCTGTTCCTTTAAAATTTATCCCGCGGTATCTCTCCTCCGCATTAGGAACAACTCGAGAACGACATCGGAGTAGAAAGACCGAAATAGGGGCGCCTGGGTGGCGCAGTCGGTTAAGCGTCCGACTTCAGCCAGGTCACGATCTCGCGGTCTGTGAGTTCGAGCCCCGCGTCGGGCTCTGGGCTGATGGCTCGGAGCCTGGAGCCTGTTTCCGATTCTATGTCTCCCTCTCTCTCTCTACCCCTCCCCCATTCATGCTCTGTCTCTCTCTGTCCCAAAAATAAATAAACGTTGAAAAAAAAAAAATTAAAAAAAAAAAAAAAAAAAAAAGAAAGACCGAAATAATCACCCACAATCCCATTATCTGGGGATAGCCACAATTAATATTTGTTATTTCCATCTACTACTTTCTTGAAGCTATGTTTTTTTAAAACACAGATAAAGTTTTATATACCAACCTTTCCTAAAACAATATAAAGGCTTCCAATGCTTATTGGAAAATCTTCATAACATCGCTTTTTATGTGGATATGCCAAAACACGTTTATTTGCTGTTGGACGCTTAGAACGTTTCCAATTTCCTGCTATTATAAGTAATGCCGAAATGTACCTAAAAGCTTTCCTACCCCATGGAGTTACCCTTATGACAGCCTGCCGGGAGTGAAATTAGCCAACCGAAAGAAATGAGTGTAGTTAAGGCCTTATTAATACTCTTGGTTTGCTTTTTGAAGGTAAAATCTGAAAAGAAATGTTAAGAGTTCCTTCCTGTTGAGATGTGTGAAGCATTCCTCTGTGCCAACACCTGCTGTCCCTCCCGTGTGCACTCATTCGGTGAAAACACACAGAACAGACTGCAGGCAATCAATCTACGAGCCATAAAAACGGAGAGTCAGAGAGTCCAGAAGATGATCCAAAAATAGACAAATATAATTAAATGGAAGGGTAGAACGCTCTGGCAGATGAGCCACTCATCTGACAAAACTAGATGAAAGTTTATACGTTGATCGTAGAAATCAAAGTATCTCTTAAAATAGAATCCCATTAGCAAAGAAAACCCCCTTCCTATTTTGCTTCCACTCTTCTTTCTCTCTCCTTTCTTCCTTCAGGAATGAAATTCCATGGCAAGGAAAAGCCTTTGAGAACTCATTGCTACAAAATCGGGGCCCATCCCGAACATCTGTGCCTCACGTAACCGTTTATTGTGGGTCAACCAGCAACTTGCAGCATTCGCCTGGTGATTCCTTCTTCGCTTTGACTATGACCCCGGGGGATCCACAGCCTTTGTGTTTCTCTCCCTCCTTCCCCTGTTCTTCCCCTTGCAACACAGCGGGAGGTCACGCACTATTCGTGAGCATCTAACACAGCGGCAAACGTGGGTGTCCACTAAATGCTTCTTGGTGATGAAGACAATGCTGGTGGTGGTGATCGTGAAGAACCCCACACGAGTCTATTTCCACCACTTCCAGCCCCCTTACAGGTTCCCTCTCTGTCACACGTGGAGAAAGGAGATCATTTCAGTTTTCAGTGTTACTGTTCTCAACAAAGCCGCTCAGCACTTTCTCCGTATTTAAGGATCTCATGAAATCAGGGCCGTACTGATGTGCTTTCCTGGGACATTATACGCAGTCAGAGTTTTGCTTTCGTGTTCAACAATACCGAGACCGACCAAGGTTTCCAGGGCAAACTGATACAAGCCATCATCGGCCTTGGGGTCCCACACACCAGGACACGTGCTGGCGGTTCCCCAAGAGGTCCATTCACAGGTCGGGACCAAGGCAGGCTGTGGAAATGTCCAGAAGGATAAATATTTTGACGTTTCTACAGCAGTGGTTCTCAATGGGGGAGGCTGTTCCCGTAGGGGGGGAATCTCCCAATGTCTGGGGACAGGTTGATGGTCAAGCTGGGGAGGTTGGGGGTGTAGGTGCCCGCGACGTCCACTGAGTAGCCAGGAATGCTGCTTAACATCCTACAACGCATAGAACAGCCTTCACCCAAAGAACTGTCCAGCCCCAAACCTCAACAGTGCTGGGGTAGAAAGCCCTGTCTGAAGGGACATCTGACGAGCCTCAAGAGAGTGGCCAGCCCTGGGGCACAGACACAACACCACAGAAGGCACCCAAACGATGCCGGGAGCGGCAGAACAAGAAGGTTCTCCATAAGGGACACACTTCATAGCAGGGAGCCTGCAATTCAAGTTCGTTTGGCTGATCAACATTCTTAAAAAAGAAATCAAGGGCAAGTTACATCTTAATGTGAAAACGGACAAGGACAAATCCTACAAGGAAATGGGATGTTTGGGATGGTGCCGTACCCGGGGTGGGGCAGGGCTGGCCTGGGCTCAGCAGGTGTGGCTTTTGTTTTAATTTTTTTTTAACGTTTATTCATTTTTTGATAGAGAGAGACAGAGCGAGAGTGGGGGAGGGGCAGAGACAGAAGGAGACACAGAATCCGAAGCGGGCTCCGGGCCCCGAGCTGTCAGCACAGAGCCCGACGCGGGGCTTGAACCCACGGACCGTGAGATCATGACCTGAGCTGAAGTCGGATGCTTAACCGACTGAGCCACCCACGTGCCCCTCAGCAGGGGTGTATAAGTTTGTGTGCACGTGTGTCGGAGGGCGCAGAGCACAGACTAGTCCACAACCCTCAGCACCCACTGTGCATCACCCCTGCTCTGAGCGCTTGAAGGTCTACATGAGCTGGTCCTTTGAGGGCAGAGGTGCGGGCATTCATTTCCTTTCCTAGGGCAGCTCCTGAGCCCGAGCCAGCTGTATGTGCCGAGCAATTTACACAGACACCTGCATGTGAACATCCACGCACGCTCAGTGTGAATGGCTAAGAAATGAGAGAAAAATCTAAGGGCCTCTCCCTTATGACCTCGGAGCATTCCGACGTCTACAAAGCACCCACAAAGCACAATCCCAACGTCCTCCTGAAAACGGAGTTCCAGGCTAGCGTGGAGATGTTAGCGATTTACTGTTGCCATGGAGACCACCACTACTGCTCAAGTTCTTTTCCAGCCTCGAGGACCTAACTTCAGACAATTTTGTTCGAGGACAAGGGCCTCCGCCATCCATGCAGGCGTCTTCGTCCGAGTCTGGAGGGCACTTGTGGCCATCAGACGGTCTGGGGGTAGCCCCTCAGTGAGGACGTGCAGGGGACGGGCGGCGACCCCTGCAGTGTGCAGACCGTTCCTGGCGGTGCTCCCTTGGTGGTCCTACCTGCCCTTTAACGAAGCCGGTGGAGGGCACCGTATACACACGGCATGCCCTAAGCCAATCTCCTCCCAAGTCCGAGCTCAGACGCGACACCAATGCCACCCTAGACCCATCTCTCTTTGCAAGTGGGAATTTGGAAGTCGCTCCTGGTGCTGCCCAAAGGAAAACAGTCATCGTCACATCTGGCTGCAAGCTGGTTAGCGCTGGGGGCTAAAGGGATCGGTGGGCAGGTCTACACGAGAATGTGGTTTTTAGAACAATTATATGATCTTAATCACTCAAGCTCTTTGAGCCTTCGTTTCCCCTTCTATAAACAGAAAGAATGAGATCTTTCCCACATAACTTAATGACTTTTTGGTTCAGATGGGATGAGAAGGAAGGAAGGCGCCTTGTAAACTCAGTGCCATGAGACCCTGTTATCACGGTGACGCCCCCTCCAGCTTCCTGCCGCCGAGCACAACCATTCTGGACCCGTTCGCTTCCCCGGAGCCAAGCGCTCCCAGTTCCTGCTGTGTCAATGATGCCAGATGCTGCTGGAACCAGGTCTCCTTGGGAAAAGCAAAGGACCGACGTCCGTGCGATATTCTCCAAACTCCAGAGCTCTCCTAGAGCTTTGGGATGAGGAAGGGCAGGGGACCCCGGGAGGAGGTTGAGGGCTGTGAGAGCCCACAGCCATGTCACCCCCACGGGTCACGGAGCTCCCCGAGCGTGGGCGCTGCTCTCTGTGATGGGGTCTGACGGGGTGGTGCCCAAGTGCCTGTGTTGGGAGACACTCCCAGTGGGTATTCGCAACATGACGGATTTATAGCGGCCACGTGTCAAAGTGCCAAGAGGACCCGGACAGGGTGCCCGGAACCCTGGGCGTCGGACACAGAGGTGAGGCATGTGGTGTGGTGGCCTGGACGCACAGAAGCTGGGCTTGGGACGCACAGGCTGTGCCTCATGCCAGCTGAGAAGTCTGGTGTGCGCTGAGGGCACGGGAGCACGGAGGGCCCCCAGCGTAGTGCTGTCGGGGAGGACGGCAGAGTGATGGGGCACCAAGAAGGGAGAGGAAGGACCATCTGGGGACAGGACGCCCCAGGCTGGGCGGTGTCTGTGTCTGTGCTGTGTGAACACACGAGCTAAAGAAAAGTCAAGTTTCTAGACGCAGATGTAAAAATGTCCAACTCCATGTATATCTTGGCTCACGTTAAGTTTTGCGACTAAGTAGAAGGATTCTGTGCGTGACAAATGTCTTTAATACGAAGATCACCGCATCCCTTAAAACCCTCACGCTCAGCCTGTACGACTGTTAAGTACAAGGAAGCTTTGACTCTTAGTACCTGTGGGTCCTCACGTGAACCCAGTTCTGTTTCCTGATGGTGGAATTTGGGATGGGCAGAGAGGGAGGCGGCCAGGAGAGGCAGGGGCAGGAATCTGGTGGCCTCCTCCCCGTCCCCGGGTCGCACAGCCACACTGCTCTTATACATCCCAAACGCTGTTTTCCCTGGTCATTGGCGGGCCTCTGGGCCAACCTGGGGACCGGCCACAAGGGACAGCGACGCGGACGGGGAGGACCCTTACCATGAGCACACCGAAGGACCACCAGTCGGCGCTCTGCGTGTGTCCCCGCCGGTTCACCACCTCGGGTGCCATGTACTCTATGGTCCCGCAGAAGGAGTAAGCTCTCTTATCGTGGTCGATGGCCTCCTTACTCAGCCCGAAATCTAAAAGAGGGACAGCATAGGGCACTGCTTCAGTCTGGGCGGCACTCAGGACCGCGTCTGTGTGGGCTCCTGACCCGCCAGCTCCCCCGTCACGTGGGGGAATTCTGCCCGCACGTGTCACCCCTCCCGCCCGCTCTGTCCCAGCACAGAACCCTCCTTGGATGCAAGCGTCATCGTGCCCCCACACCGTAAGTTACAGTCTTTCAAGAATCTACAAACCCAGGAGTGCCTGCTAAAAGGATGGAGGGATGGCACTTCTTAGGGACCGACAAGCAGGCCTAGGGGCCTGCTAGGCTGGAAGCCGGGGACAGAGAAGCACGTGGCCCCCGGTCCGCTGGGACGGACGGAGGTGGTTAGCTTGAAGGCAAGGGCCGGAAGGGGTTCCAGGCACGGGCCGCTGGGGAAGGCGGTCCCCGGAGCTGAGGCACAAAGGGAAGATGGCATTTGCCGTGGGGTGGGCGGCCACCCCTCCCCCCGACCTCCAGGAAGTCCTCATGAGGGTCTCCCTTCTGGCACAGCGGGCGTGGCCACGCACTTGGTGGGCAAAGGTCGTGGGAACGTGGTTCTCAGGACGGTGGCCCTCGGTTTCAGCGTGTTTGGGAAGAAGGCCACAGTCCGTCATCTCCGTCAGGGCCCGGTGAGGGTGGCGTGAGGTCACAGGCCGGGCAAGGGGGTCACACTACCTACGGGTGGATGTGCTTCCTCCAGCTGAATGACTTGCTTTGCACATTAGCGCCTGGGAGCGGTTGTTTGTAATTTGCGCCTGGCCCAAATGGCCAATCATGACACAGGATTAGCCCTGGGTCATGAGTAATAATAACAATAATAATAATAATAATAACAGAAGCATGATTACTTGATCAGAGAAAGCCCAAACCCTGTAACATCATAGACACATTTGACGTGGGAGCTCAAGGCTATTCGCAAACACTGCACACAAGTGTCACTTCTATATTCCACGTGCAGTTCCGCGTTTGGCAAAGAAAACTTCTGAAGTATTAAGAGAAGCTTAAACCTCCACCAAATGCCCCATAACTCTGATGACAGGACATTACAGGTGCCCTACAGCTGTGCCAGGCAAGGGGGTCTGAAGGTCCGGTTAAACGGACAGTCAGGATCTGGTATAGAAGCTCATGAGAAATTTTAGACCTAACTGTCAACATTAACAAGCATGTAGAAATGTATAATCAATGTTTACTGCCAGGGACTAGATGCACCGTGCCCAGTACTGGCACTGGGTAAAACTCCCCTGTGGGAAAACAGGATGTGGGGACATGTGGCAGCGAGACTGTGTGGGGGCCACGGAGAGGGGAGGGGAGGCCTCGGGGGGAAGGGTTGCGGAGGAG